ACATATATGTCGTAATCTTATCTCGGCGGGTCGCGAACTTGAGGAAGTTAGCTTCATCAGCTTCATTAGCTCCTGGTATCACATCATATTTGTTACTATGGTTTTCGAATTGTGTTGTGAATAATTTTTAATCTTCTTTTTTTTTTAAGTGCTTAAAGATTTTTCTAATTTTCGCCGTATTGCATTTTCAGCGTGGATAGTTCATGTCCTTCTATAATGTTTAATTTGTTATCAGCGTGCAAATATTCTGTCCGATTTAATTGTGGCGAGCGGAAGGACATAGGTAGCCGCAACTTCCGGATAAGTAAACTGAATTTGCACCTTGTAATGCAAGCGGTCTCTGAACTGTGTCGCCCGAGTTGACGACTCCGTAAATTGCTATTTGAATTTCGAATACGACGAGAAAGAATATATATGAATCAAATCCAATATTTCATATACATAATATTTTTTTTAATATCAACATTAAATCGATTTTAATTATACACTAAATATTTGGAAAATTTTTCAGTCATATTTGTATCTCCCACTATTTATCTCAATATTGTTCAATACGTTCTGAGTAACAAGAATCTATGAGACAATTTGTTCAACAATTTCGGAGCGTTTAACAGTCAGCAGTACGTTTTATTTATTATCGCGTATTGTCGGCGTACTAGTATAATTTAAAATGTTTTATAGAAATTGCACACATGTTGGAGCTGCTCGCAATCGAGTTCACAGCTGCTGCATTATGTGGTCGTTTGTCAAAGCAGTTTGCACATTTTCCCGGTGCATTTTAACATGCGGAAGTGTTCCTTCTTTCCTGGCGATAATGGTTACATTGATAAAATGACAAAAGTTTGCGTATCTTTACCATGTTTGCGACACGAATCGGCGCCGGCATTTCTGTACGTCGTACTTTCTGATTTTAAATCTACAATACTTGGAGAATTCGAATCTAACATGTAGAAAATTTAAATGCGTACAAAATCTAAACGCGTTCGATTCGTTTTTAAATTGAAATGTATATAAGTGACGGAACTTCGGCAACCAATTTCCGTCGTGTCGGATGCGATGCTGGCAACGTTACTGACGCCAAAAAAGTTGCACAAATGTACTTCGTGAACTACACTCAGGTGGGCGAACACGTTTAAAAATATGGTACGGCAAAATTTCCAATTCAAAGTACGGAAAAACGCTATCTCGGCGTTATTTAAACTACTGATCGAATTAAATAGAATTGTTTCGGGTTAACTGTCGTTATTGTTTTTCTATTAAAACGATTATTTCAATCTCAATTTTTATGACACTATTAAAAGTTAAAAGTTAGTGATACATTGCGAAACAATTTTTTTTTTTTGACAATACGCAATCGTAAATATTTTCGAAAATTCTGTAATTTCAAACCATCACTGATAATGAAAATATCGACATCAATGTCTCCCGTCGATCCAGCGTCACGCAACTTTTCCATACATCGAACTGTCTATAGCTATAACTTTATCGAAATTCCCGAAAACCATAACATCCCCGAGAATAAAAAACAAAAATTTAGCGAATTCCACCGAGAACTGACATTTCATGTTTCATGTAAAAATCGATTGACACCGAAAACATTCGATGTCATAACGTAAAAGTTACATCTACCTCGATTTATCACCGATAACATCGATCATATTTGCGAGAAAAATTCTCGTTGCAAACTTATTGATACTTTCCCAGCATGCAGTTGTAATTGCCTTTGCTCAGCGAAATTTCCCTTTTTATTTATTGACATATGAAATTTATCTCTTCCAATAAATTCAATAATGAACACATCTCTCTGATCTGTTGTATCTTCCGATAATCTTTATATTATTCCGTAAAAATATAATAATGATATTGTATTTTGATGAAAAAGGTTATTTAATTTTATCTTTTCGATATTGCGTAAAATATTACATATTCATATTTTAAATAATAAGATATTAATATATAATAAATTTCAATTTTATATATATTGTATATCATGTATATCATGTATATTTCTATATGATTCTCATTACATATTTAATCATAATTACTCTTCTAATTACAGTTATGACCATAGAAGGGCCGAGCTTCAATATCACAAAAGTGAATCGGCTGCATATGGGTTCCTATTTATGCATCGCATCCAATGGCGTGCCACCCTCCGTCAGCAAAAGAATAATGCTTACTGTGCATTGTACGTATATTTTTCACTTTATACATTTTATTTATAACTATTATAATTAAAATCTGTTTTAATCTAAATTATGTTAAAAGATATTTTATTTCTTTGAAAAAGTGAATTATTACAAAATATGAATATTTAGTTTCCGCGTTTGTAAAGTACTATTAAATATTAATAATTTATTTGGTTATCAAAAATACGAGAAGAAGATGAAAACAAATTTTCATAAAACTGTAATGAAAAATTATTAAATTACACATAAATTACACATCGTGTAAATAGTAAACGAACATTTGCTTACCCTGAAAGGAATATTGTGTAGTTTGGAATTTAGAGTCGGACTTGTGTATTGACTGTTTCAGTTCCACCGATGATTTGGGTTCAAAATCAGTTAGTAGGTGCTCTCGAGGGTCAGAAGCTGACTCTCGAATGCCACTCAGAGGCGTTTCCAAAGTCTATAAATTATTGGACCAGAGATCAGGACAAGATTGTGCCGCAAGGTGAGTACTTATTTGATAAAGTCGTAAATAATAACTCGTCTCGGCGCACCAACCAGTTTCGATTGCGGATTAATTAAAGGGAAGCTACACATTTTACAAGACGACGTTACAATTGCCACGGTGAGAGTTCGCGGTCGTTCATGACAGTGGCTCATGAAAGAGTCATGACCCGGCAGAAAGTAGGATGACTTTACTGTTTTGTAATATGCATCGCTCGCGGCACGCACCTATCGCACTTTTTGATGATTCACGTAACCCCACGAGAGAGAGAGAGATAATTACACCCCCGACGCGTATTCCTCCACATAGTGTGCATTTGCGAGGAAGGAAAATAACTGGTTGTAACGAACCCTCTGAATAATGAAAGCTTCATACCGAACGCATAAACACGCACACCGGCGAAGCGCGAGTATAAGCGTTTCGCTCTGCTTTATGCGCCGGTCTATAAAGGCGGCTTTACTACTTTGCATCGATCCGCCATTCCTTTTGGATTCGTATCTTTTGTGCGTATCACGATGTACGCACACTCGTGGCCCCCGTGTCGAGTGTATTTAACTGCGTCGGGGTGGGGGGTGGGGGGAGGAAAGCTGCGCGGGTTATGCCGCACTTTTACGACCGAAAATTAACCGCATTACGAAAAATACAGTAATTACTGCGCATTCATTACACGCCCGATGATTGATGGTTACGGCGCGATGAATTACCCCGCGGTTATTACGACGCATTTCTCGCGTACTTCTTTTTTTTTTCTTTTAGTTCTTCAGTGCTGCGCACTGAATATACGTGGGGAAAATTACGTGTGATGTTCCGGATAACATATTACGCTATCATACTGTAGATAATGAAACACGCCTTCGGCTTTTGAATGTCACTGAAACGGTTGACAGAAATCTTCGGACGTGGGATTACGCGTTAACACGATCGGCGGGGGAGTCAAAACTCGCATTGTGCGCAACATTATTGCGTTCGATACAGATGCAAATGCTAACCACAACGGCGATGTAATAACGCTCGACGTAGAAAAGGGCGATACCGGTCGTGTTTGGCGCTCGCACACATACTCGTCGCGTCCTTAGCCTTCCTCATAAATGCCAGATAAAATTGTGTTATACCTTTAACGTACTACCGGGATTCGCATGCATTATTCAGAGGCTAATTCCGGTCGAATAAACGACCCGAAAGAAGAGCTGCGCGAGATGTTGGCGCGTGTACGGCTGGTACTGCTTAAATAAATAAATCTAACGGTATTAAAAACTAGATTGCCTCTTGTAATCGCCATATTGCCTTCTCTTGCATTTATTTCGAAGATATACAAGGTCTGACCGCGTGTAAATTAAAAGCGCCTCTGTTTCCAGTGGAAACTCATTTAGGGAATTAACGTCCAGATCGGATTCATAGGCTAAATGGCATTAAAAGATTTCATTCATAAAGGAATTCAAAGATATCTTTATTTCCTTTTTTCTTTGCGACGTTGAACGCACGCTAATCGATGGTAATGGGATTAAGAGCAGTAAAGCGCAACAGGACAAAAGTTTTAATTACGTAAACGCCATCGCGCGTACACGCTCGTACGCCAAATTCACTCGTTTGTCAAATGAATGATGTCACACGAAGATTTATCGCAAATCGCGCGCGCGAGTCTTCGATTAATAAATGTTGTCAAGATTTAGTTGAACGTTTGCATTGATCTACAACCGCGATGGAAGCGACGCATAAAAACAGCCGGGGTTCTGGGAACTACGAAAAGTAATTAAACCATCGTGGAAGGTCGCTGTCAATTCATTTTTTGAGAGAATCAAACGGCATGGCGGCTTCGTTTGTCTTTTTTTTTTATGGTTACATATTCGTTACAGTGTAGTGCACTTCGGCATGGACGCCGGAGCTAGCCCCGGGGCGGTGAAAACGTTCCATTCGAATTGCACGCTCGTGCATGCTGTGTTTCTTTCATTTCTTCGGCCAATTTCCATTTGCGTCTAATTGAAAGCATTCAAATAAACAGAACGGGCAGAACGGACGTGATTGTAAAAATTTCATTTCGCTCGCTTTTGACCGCCTGATGTCAGAATCCGCGAGATTGCTCATCCCGCATTTCACTTTTTTTTTTTGCACTCGACTATTGGCTGAACGTGATCAAAGCTAATACGGGCTGACGTTTGTTTCTGTCTCATCGGATTGTTAAGTTATTTCTACGAGATTACATGCGACGAGACGTCGTAGACAATGTAGTAATATATTCGCCCCGACGATTACGCGCGCGGAGGGGGGCGAACAGAAAATGCATGTAGGAATAGCGTGACTGGAAAAATGATTGGAAGCGATTTCACGCGTTCTAACAAGACGTGCCGTGATCGATGCTGTAGCAGATAGCGTCGAACTCGTCGTTTAGATCGGAAATAGTTCTTCGAGGCGACGTCAAACCTAGAAATTCCGTACTATTTCAGGGGAAGAACCGTTGCGATTGGTCAATCGAGAAAAAAAGTGAATCATTTAGCTTTGTGTGACATACTTTTTCGATATAATCAAATTATGACTCGTGTACTCTGTAGAAAAAAAAATCGATTTGCGTAGATCACAGTACAAAACAAAATATAGTCAAATTTCTATCTGGATTATATTTTTACTACATTGTGCGATAGTGAATTAAAAAATGTAGAGGGAGCGAGTATTATTTTCTGTCTCGTGAAAACCGGTACAGCTTTTTATAAGACGGTTGATTATTCATACTACTGCTATATTCACACATAGTGCCAATAACCTACCTGTCATTTTGTGACAACTCACTCTGTATAATTCAAGTTTTGTTCTATATAAATCGGATCGCCTTCAAATCGCCTCCGCCGAGTACAATAGGAACAGAATTTCTCGCCCGGAACAAACGCCGACACTGACAGCCAAATTCTAACATCAAGGGAAACCATTTTTACAAAAGCAGTTGTCATCGCAATAACCTTTCCTTTTCAACTTGTGAAACGGCATGAAAGAAAGTTTTGTGTCATTGTTTTTTTAAGTGCAGAACATTATTGTTGAAGTTTAGTGGAGTTCCTAAAGACTAGAAAAGCGGGTTAGCTCGAACGATGTTAAAGAACGTTACTTCGCCTTACTTTCTCTATTCGCCAGATGTTAAACCGTCTTTTATATATGACAAAATTATAGGTCAGATAGTTTATATTAAATCGCGGAATAAATTTGCAGCGTAATTCAGGAATTTATTTTATTCAGCGGTACAATGTTTAATATAAACAGTTCAATGCTTGGGTCAAATATATCTAATAATCAACAGCAAATACTAAAACATTTACACGAATATTTACGTCAATTTTTTCAAAAGTGATATTTTCTCGGTAAAAACATTTTTACAATATTTTCTGCTTTTTAATACTTCCAATGAGCCGCGCGGTGCGCTCATTCTACGTTGCGCGTCCAGGATGACGGAAGTCAACCCTGAATCCGAAGCTACAATTTGGAGTTGTCGCCATTGAGAGTCGAATGATTTCGATGCTTTACAAATCTGTCCGTGACATAGCCTGCATAATCAATCCAAACATCTAAGATCCCGCGTTTTATCAAAACGGCGAATTGCCGTCCGCTGATCGGTGCCGTAATAAATGACATTCCATTTCGGGTCGGAAACGGCCGTTCCGTTCGACAGCCGCTACGAAATCTCGTAGCTGTCGAAGGTAACGTCACAATAGTTCAATCAGGTGGGAAGATGGTCCGTCGTGGAGATAGCACCGCCTGTCGCGACTATTTTGGTATTCGACACGCAGCGGTCTTAAGTTAACGTGATTTCTGTTTCGATCGATGCCATTCAGCGGTGCTTCCGGTTCTCGGCTCGTAAGATTCCAAACGATATCTCCGGGTGATGTCGCGCGAAAAGCGCCGGGCTCGAATGCAAAACTGAACAATAAAAGGGATACCGGGGGCTGAGCGTCCTTTGGATTCACGTCAGAACGGACTCGAGATGGATAATGCGCTTTCCGCGATCGTGAATGTCGATATCCGCCATTTTATGCTATTATTATACGTTTATTCGCTTCGATAAGGATAATAAGCTGACGGGTTTCGATAAAGATCATAAACTGACGAATTGCATAATGCTGTGATAATACACGTAATTAGGTAATATAAGAGCGGATATTTGTAAAAATATTACATAATGGCCGTATACGGCGCGTCATTCGATATTGAAAGAAAAAATAGCGATTTTTCGTCTATTTTTATGCACATAAATTTTATATGTAAGATTTTATCATTAATTAGATTAATAAATAAATTGACGGAGACAATGTATGTTTAAAATGATGAAAGCGATTTATATTTATTAATAATGAAATGTTTTATCATATAGATATTAAAAATAGATACTTATATTCAAATAGATAGTTAAAATAGATATGTTAAAAAATGATATGAGACCGCCGCGTGTGTGTATTATTCGCGATCATCGCAATTAATACAAAAAAATTCCAGTCACTGGATTTCGTTGCGTATTTTCAATACTTTCGATCGTCTTCCGAAAAGCTTGCAATTTTTAGTTTCACACATCTTAATGTCTTTCTCCTTCACGGCTCTCGTCTATTCTCTTTTGCGCTCAACTCTCGAACGTCTCTATCGAATATCTCACACGTTTCGATCGATCGACCTTCTTTTCTTAGCGACAATAATAATACCTTTTAATTGATTCAGTTAAATTTGTAAAAATTTTTACATATACCGTTAGCAAAAAGCTTAGAATTTATTTTTAAGTTTATCTCGTTATATTTATCGCATTTGTTTTTGGATAAGCGACATTAATATTACTCTTGTTCAAACTTTGTAGATAATTTTTCAAATTTTGACAAATGAAAAAATCTGCGCTTTCGGAATCAATAGCGAAAAGGGTTTTTAAAATTCAGATGACGCCGCGAAATGAATGAATTGTGCCAATTACTTATTACTCTTGTAGCAGGAAATAATTAAAAACAGACCCATTTGTTCCAAAATTCCGATTTTCTCATCCGGTCGTTATTAAATCCGGATGGCTTTTATTGTTCGTAGAAGACAGTCGTGTCGTAGCGAATCATTTCTATGAGCTTTTTCGTATTGTCACCGCGGTGCTTGACCCACATACCGCGAATGCACGCGGGATAGACAGTCATTTAAAAGCCCTTGATTACCGGCGCATATTCCGATAAAAATATCCGCGATCCGATCATGCTTCTATTTCCAAGCTGTACCCGAAAGAGTAAATCACGTCAAAAGAATGATGGGTAACCCCGACCAGACGTGACTGACAACACATGACGGAAAAGTGAGATATTTTTTTTTATGTATTGACGTCTAGTTGATTTAAGCGTGATTTTTCTGAAATTGGAACAAAAAGCGCGGATATAATGTCTACATATCATTTTCCGAGACGTCGCTCACATTCAATCGACGTAATTCAGCGGCCATGATTCGGGAAAATTTATCTTTTATTTTAACAACAATGAAAAATAAAATTGCGCAATGAATCATCGACGAAATCGCGATTTGTTGCAGGTGGGAAGTACGACCCGGTGCTGAAGGACAACGCGTACAAGATACACATGAAGCTGACGATAAATTCCGTCAGTACGGCTGATTTCGGCTCGTACAAATGTGTCTCTAGAAATTCGCTGGGCGACACTGACGGCAGCATCAAAGTCTATCGTGAGTATAATTGCGGCATTTCTTTTCTTGTTTTCTTGGAACGCGTATTTTTCTAAAAAAATTTCATGTCAAAGGTTAGCGAAACTGTGACATTTTTTTTTTTTTGCAAAATGTAACAAAATTGTTTGTTGTCATATACAAGAGATATACGGCAGCATCAAAGTCTATCGTAAGTATAATTGCGGCATTTCTTTTCTTGTTTTCTTGGAACGCGTATTTTTCTAAAAAAATTTTATGTCAGGTTTAACGAAACTGTGACATTTTTTTTGTTGCAAAATGTAATAACAAAATTGTTTGTTGTCATATACAAGAGATTTCGGTATAATCGAATGCAACGAAGTAACGGTGCAGCTTGCTCGCGTGCGCCGGTAGCAGCTTATTAAGCAGCAGCTGTGTTAAAATAGTTGGAATTTTTATGAAATACCGACTGAAATCCGACGCGCGACAGGTCGGGCCTTATACTCTTAAAAGTGTTCGCGCTTATGAATAAAACAATATGTCGCAAAAATATCCCGACGGTCGCAACGAGACGCTTCCGATTCAGAATCACAGCGCTCGTGGAAAGTTCTTGTATACACTCAACCGTCGCGCTATACAGTGCGCGGGCGATGCCACCCCGTGTGTGAATCGCCGTTGCCCTGAAAACAGCGAAGCGCGAGGCGTATCTACGCGCGTTGAAATTGTTTGTACTCGTAAAGTGAAAGATAACAAGGAGTTAGAGCCTCTGCGAGTTAGAACATGCATAAACAAAGCCGTGAGTTAAAGTATGACTTGAAGAGACTATCCGCGTTACTGCTCGCCTCGTTATTTCTTAGCTGTTGCTGGGCTCGAACCGTCCTTTTCTCGACTTCGAGACATTTTTCCGTACGCGTTCCGTGTATTTTCGTCACCTCGATACGCGTAATATTGTGTCGTTTGAATAACACTGAGCGTTGTTATTTTTTTTTTTTCAGCATTATTGAACTCCAACGGCACCAAAACCAAAAACAACAGTAAGTACCTTTTTTGCTTAAGCGGTGAGTCAAATACGTAATGTTTCGACACAGAAAGTTATTCGATGCAAAGAAATTGATATCGGGGCGATATAAATTTTACTTTCAAAATGTTCTACGTAGCGCAATGTGTATTTTACGATGGAAAATAATCTTCTTGAATGTGAAGAAATCCGCGATTTAATTCTGAAATTAGTTCGTGAATTTTACCGAAACGATGGGCGCAACTGCATGGCAGAGATGCTAAAGCGTTAATTAATTAATAGCTTTATTCCAACATTGTTGCACGAAATATAAATCGATCATTCATCCTTATTGCTCGCTTTGTGTTGAGAGGCACTTTTTGAACGATGAAGCGTGGCGTACTTGCGGCGGACGAACGGGTCGCTGATTAATTAGATCGAGTAGCCAGTTTATGCGTTCGAATCCGCATATTGAACCACTCGCTGTTTCCAGCTAAAGGACAAGTATGCGTTTCAACATTGTATAATTGTATCGAGCACAATACTCATACAAGCTGTGAGTAGAGATCTCCAACATTATCTTCTATCTTTTACGTCCCTCAACATTTCCGCGTATATCTTTATTTTAACAAAATGAACGAACGTCATATTTCCTTGTCAACCTTTAAAACTTTATGTTTTATGAATTGCATCTTCCGTGACGTTGCTACGAAAATATAGAAAATGTAGAAATGATTGAGAAAGTGAATCTTACAATTTGCAGATATAATTTTATAATATCAAACGTACTTTTTTCAAACGAAAACGCCGCAGTTTTGTAGATTATAACTTGACAATATTGACAATCATAAGAACGAAAATACACGAGCCATTGCGAAATGCAACAAAAGCGTATCTGTGTCATCCGCGCTTGTTAAGGCATTTCAAGTTTTCCATCCGACTAAGTCGAGCTCCTCCATCGTCGAGCACG